GGTAGAAACAGATTTTTAGATCATTTTATTTCCCTATCCCACCCCAGCTGCATTTGGATTTAAACAGAAACAGCCGGTGAAGATAAGCTTTGTCTGGAAAACATTGGTTTCTGAATTTGGGACCTAATCCTGCAAAAGGCCCAGCGCTTTCACTTCCAATAACAGCAATGAAAATGGACATGCTCAGCACCTTGCCCACACACAGGAAATGTCATTCTATCGGTGGAGTGCCCACACACAGGCCCCTGCTGGGATGAGTGGAGATTATTTCACAGGCGCAGCTCTGGAAATGCCACCATTTTGGAACCAGAATGGGCTTTACATTTGGAACAATCCAAGTTGGGAGAGAAGCTTGGTGCTTTCTGTCTTGTAGGACTGTTCTTCCTGCAGCAGCCAGCTGGAGGCAAATAGGAGATGCTGCTTGGGATCCCAGTTGGATTGTGATGGTGCCAGAGCCTGGTCATAAAAACCAGGCTTCTGTTATGGGACCAAGCCCATCTCTGATGCAAATTCACTGATTTTGGCCCATGATTGAGTAATCTTTGGACTAACATTTCAATTCAAATTTTGAAACAAATGACTCCATTGCAGAAGGTCACTGAACTTTAGGGGGTTAAAACTCGGATGTTAGCTGATGGGTGTGGGAAATGTTTACATATGTTGTTTTCTGGTAACACTCACAATTTGGGTAGGCACTGACCACAGTCATAGGGAGCCACAAGAACCGACTGTTCACATGCATTTTGCATACACTTATGCTTGTAAGTTTAACTAAATCAATTTAGAACAAGTTTGGTTAAATTGGCTCAACTACTTTGCTTGAAATTCTTATTCCAGATGCCATAGACCAAGTCTACTTCAATTAACTCCTTACCAATTTAAGCTAAATCATTTCATTGTACCCTAAAACAAAGCGAGTCCTGTTTAGACATGTGCTACAGTTTTCTAAAGCACCTACGTGACATAAGTGCCTACGTTTAATTGAAAATCAATGCTGCTTAGGCTCCTAAATCACTTATGCATTACCCAAGGCCTGAGAAAAACAGAAATCTCCGGCTCTTCGATCTCAAAGGAGGTTAGTATCACTGTCCCTATTATACAGAGGGGAAAATGGAGGCACAGGGCTGTGAAGTGACTTGCCCAGGGTAACCCAGCAGCCAAGTGGTAGAGCTCAAGGCTCCATGCCAGGCAGGTGGAATATTAATACGAGTGGGAGAGGAATATTAATACAGTACATACACATTTATATATATACACACCTGTATTCTTTTATATAAAGATTATAATAGAATATAAAGTTATTTTTAAGTATTAGGGAATTATTATGGCTAATATCAACCAAAGAAGAGCACAGACGAGGCAGGTTAGTTACGTGGGGTGGATACGTGAAGGGGACATGCTAGAAAATGATTTTTTGTGGTGGCTATACTAGCAATGAGCTGCCGTGTTTACATCTCCTTCAAGTTCTTTGTAATATGATCATGATCAGTGTTCCCTGTGAGCTGAGCACTTGGGCGGCCATCCAGGAGAGATTCAAATGCCAGCTGGCTGACTTGCAGAGTACCCACAGCCAGCAGCATGTGTTTCTACTAGTGGTGCACATTAGCACATGTCTCGGTGCACAGAACATTTATTCCACACATGGATAGAAAAAATTAGAGGGAATGTGGAGGTTGTAGAGGGAACATTTGCCATCCAATGGGATTAGTTTCGGTTTAACTGCATGTGTTTCTAAGGCTGTCCATAGCCAACAGGTCCCCTGAATCCTCTGTGGCATCCAGCTGCAACCATAGGCCCAATTGTGTTTCCGCTCCAGGGCTGTATTGAGAAGGAGACAGCACTGCTGGGGGTAGACAAGCCAGCTCTGCATTCGACACCAATCCCACTGTTTTCTGAAGGCCAGTAAGATGGCTTTGCTCTGCAATGGCTTTGCTCAGGCTAGTTTCTTCTGAGGCTGTGCCCAGGGTTGCTACTAACAATAAAGGTTCAGCCACAAATATGTGGTTATGGAGCTTTATTGGCATTTAGCTCTTATGGAAGGACTTCATACCCGGCGTCCCAGCAATTTGTGCCTTATTCATTTTCACTCATGCGTTTGAGCTTGGGAAGCAAAGCGCTCTCGAGTGTTTCTGGAGTGATGGTTGTGGCCCTTGAGCTGAGAGCAAGGACACTTCAGCAGCCCTTTCTCCGGTGGCACGGCCTCTCTGTCTAGTTCTGTTTGAATACGTCCATCAGATTACACACGTTGTTCAGTCATTATCAAGCGAACCCAGCCATGTCTTGCTTCCAAGCCCATTTCTAGAAGAACCGTTGCTTTCTCTCGTGCCTGGCCACAGTAGATCTATGGGATTGTCACTGTGAAAGCAGAGGTGTTTAGAGTTTGGAGCGGGACACAGCTGGGAGACCTAGTCCAGTCCCTGAATTTAGCTCTTTTTGTGATTTACCCATGAATGGACTTATTGATTT